GCCGGCGTGGTGGCGCACGCCCGTGACCCCGGCCCGCGGGAAGCTGCGGCCGGAGGGTGGCGGTTGGAGCACACCCCGAGCAGTTGAACCCCTGGGCGAGATTCTGTCTCAACATCCACGAAGGGCCGGGGATTGTCTCAGCTCGAAGGCCGTGGGCTCTTTTTTTTTTAATTGTAGCGAGATTAAAGGCTTCAGGATTTATCAGCTCCGTCAGGGTTTATTTTATTTTATTTCGTTTGCATTCACTGCAGCTCAGGCTGGCCTTGTGCTCACTTTTTGGCCCAGGCTGGTCTCCAACTCGCAACGATCCTTCTGCCTCCGCCTCCCGAGCCGCCTTCTTAGGGTTAAATTTTAAAGAGGGACGTTCAAGAACTTAACTGCCAGGTGAAAACTATTTAAGAAAGTACCAAGGTTCTCTCTTAAATCCATAATCCCTTGCCACGGCCCCCTTACTTGATTTTGGAAATTAAATTTACTTTTAAATCTACACATACCTGTGTTTTCTAGATCGTGCCTCTCAAATTCAACTACACGAGAAGCACCAAGGGAGGTTTTAGAGTTTTTTCTCCTCCCCCCAATTGTTGATCCCCAGCTATCACCTCCAAAGGTTGCAGTTTGATTGGCCTGCGCCCAGGCATGTTAAGGTTCCTTGAATCATGTTCAGCCAAGGTTGAAAAGGACAGTTCTTGACAATCTTACATTTTAACTGTGCCCATTTTTTTGCCCATTTGCAGATGACATATTTTCTGTCCTGCAACTTTGTAGTTTCAATAATTAGAAGTAGCTGTCAATAAACTTAGAATACTTGAGCGTCGTGTGCTGTGCATGCCTGTAATCCCAACACGGGAGGCTGAGGCAGGCAATTTGTTGTGAGTTTGAGGCCAGCCTGAACTGGCTGGTGAAACCTTGTCTCAAAAAAAGACACACCAAAAAAATTGAAATGAATTTAGAACAATGTTAAGACTGATAATAGGCCTTTTTAAGTCTATAAAGTGGTCATTCTGATTTGCTTATCCTGCTTGTCCTTTGTAGATCCTCGGGATTTGAAGATGGCTGCCCAGTCAGCGCCAAAAGTTGTGCTAAAAAGCACCACCAAGATGTCTCTAAATGAGCGGTGAGGCAGCCAACAGCAACTTCAGCTCTTTCCTAAGAAAACATTACTTAAATTGGCCCTGGGGTCCAATGCACAAAAACCAGTTATAAGCTAAATAGCAACAGAAGGCTACAGACCTCTGTTACTAGTTGCATCTCATGTGGTACACAAAACAAATTGGGCAGTTGTTTCAAAACCCCTTATCAGTAGATTTTTATGTTAAGCTGTCTGAAGTGTTTGTCTGGTGGGATGTATTTTAAAAGGACTCCTCACACCCTCCCTTTTCTTCAGTTTTTTTTACATTGATACAGGGGTGGTGCAGCATGGTAGTGTGGTATACCCCAGCTGCAGTGGGCTTGCTGCCCAGTCCAAGGCCAGCAGTGTTGTGTCTGGCCTGTAAGAGGCAGGTAGCAAGCCATGAATATGTCCGAAGGCCCTTGAATGTCATTCCTGGGCCTTGTAAGAGGCACTTGCTTTGCTCCATTTCACTCTCTTTCCAAGTCTGCTTTTTAATTTGTTTCTGTTTTATATTCTTTTAACAGTTAAATGTTCTTCTCTTTCACTCCACTAAACTTGACTGTGATGGGAATAGTAGAGGGACGTCTTTATAAGTCTCTTAATTACTGAACTAATCTAACTCCAAATTACTCACTTGAAGTCAGAAAAAAATAATTATTTGGGACTTCAAAAAATTAAGGTATTTAAAAACAGTTTCTAACCTTGAGTGCTTTGTTTATTCAGTGCCTTTGGCCAGTGATTTTATCACATTGTAGTTAGTGCTTTAAGAGATATACCACATACCTCTCTTTATCTCTTAGGAAGTATTATTCTAGTAATATTCTTGTTACATTTTATTCCACTGAGCTACCTCCCTGGCCCTTTTTGTTACATTTTTAAATGTGATGCACTCCTGTAATTTACATGGATGTATTATTTCCCCAGGCTTTGGTAGTGCTCTGAGGGCAAATAAGACCTTCCTCTTATTTGCCCTTAGGATGAACCCTTAAGTCCCCCCCCCCTTTTAGGTTTTCTTTGTCTTTGAAATTGCATCTTCTGTTTCTTGTCATCGTATCTGCTTATTGCGTGTTTTTCATACTTTCCACCTGTCTGAGAGCTGTTACCTGAGCCCTTGTTATCACTTTTGATTGAATGTGCTGCCCTTAGCTGCATTTCTAAGTTTCTGACTCTTGCAAGTTTGTGGAAAAAGAGGAGTCTAACCCACATCAGCCATGATCTAAATGTACCACTTTACTTAAAGTTCATGGGATCTGAAGCTCCTGGTCTAGCAAGCCATGAAAATGCCCATAAATGTTTTGTAATAAAGCTTTTGTTTAAACATCCATTTTGTTCGACCTTGAAGCTTTACTAATATGCTGAAGAACAAACAGCCGATGCTGGTGAATATTCGGGCTTCGATGCAGCAACAACAGCAGCTAGCCAGTGCCAGAAACAGAAGACTGGCCCAGCAGATGGAGAATAGACCCTCTGTCCAGGCAGCATTAAAACTTAAGCAGGTGAGAGAACGAGTCTTAATACTCCTGAAGCAGCTGTGAGCTGTGTCAATCCACTGAGCCTGTCAGGATGAGATGGATGATTACAAGGCGGCTCAGGGCAAAAGCTGAAATTTCTCTGAAAGAGTTGTTCAGCCAATTCCAATTTTGGCAGGTACTTAAATAATTTTTTGTTGTCTTTTTTTTTTAGGGAGTTTACCACCTTTGTGTCCTGCTTGTGTTATCAATGAGAATTCTTACTTTTTCGTCCTTTATCCTTAAAGTAGATTTATGGGTCTTGGGGGTTTCTTTTACAAAGAGACTTTGTTTTGGGCTAGGGAGTATAGCTAGCCTAGCATGTACAAAGCTCTGGGTTCCATCCCTTGGACTGGAAAAAACAAAAAACCACTTTTTGTTGTAGATAAAACCTTCAAAGCATCCTTTACCCCCTTTTCTATGATTTACAAACTCAGAAATAATTTTGTTCTTCCTGCATCAGGTAGTCATGAATGGCCTTAGTCAAGTTTTTCGGTGCTAAAAAAGAGAATGACACTCAATTCCACAGCATTTGAAGCATGATAGCAAAAAACACTGAGTGGTTATTAGTGCATTCTCTTTCAAATTTCCAGTAAGAAATCATTCTATTCAGACCTGAAATAAAACCTGCTCTTTATTATTCTTAGACTTTATATGCAAGTCCGGACAGTGCCTATGGAAGGATATGTCCAAGCTGTGGCTGGGCGTCTGGAGGGCGGTGCCATGCAACTGTAAGGACTTTAACTGGTAGCACTGCATGGCTGTGCATAAATTCAGCAGTTAAATATAACACCCTCCCACCCCCACTCTGAACCGTTACGCTCACTGACCAAAAATAAACAAGGCTTTTGGCTTCACCTACCAAGGGCCTTGGAGTGATTAGATTCACTTCAGACTCAGGCAATCATCACATATAAAGCACCAATAAAAATTACTAAAATCTTGACATATTCCAAAGGAGCTTTAAATATAGGCTGTGTAGAAAGTAGAATCTATGGTAGTGCTGTGCAACAATTTTTGCAGTGATGGAAATGTTTTATATATGCTATCCAGTGTAGCCACTAGCCACCTGTAGCTGTTGAGAACTTTTAAATGTGGCCAGAGCAATTGAGCTTAATTTTACATTTTTTTAAATTTACTTCTGATATAAATAGCCACATGTAGCTGATGCCTACCTATACAGCACAGCTGCAGAGTGGAAATTGGTTGCTATAGTTTATATCCTTCACTATCCTCAATTTGGAAAGTAGGATTGGTACAGTGGGGATAACAGTGGGAGAACTTGGCACAGTTCTTCCCCAAAGTGTAGGGCTCGGCGAAATGAATATACTCAGGATAGCTGAGTATGATGGACTTTTAGAATGTCCTGCCTCATAATTGTGTCCCGGCAGCTGGTAGCTCAGTGGGAGAGCACTTGGCCTAGCATGCGTGAGGACATGGATTCTAGTCCTAGCACTAAAGGGAAAAAAAGTAGTGACTGCTAATCGGAAGAGAAACTGGACAGGCTTTTCTGGTTAGTTGGACCTGCCTATGTTAGATGCATAATGTTTAGAATTTTTGCGCTCTCATTAAGAAGTAGTTTGTCATCTTGAGTTAGCTAATGATAGTGACACACAGCATGTTTTTAGAGCTCTCATTAGTAGTCACTTGTGGATAAAGCCTGAGGACACAAAATTGATATTCATTCACATTGACTAATAGCTTTACGTAGAAGTAAGCTTGCTTAGGGTTTTAGTTGTATTCAGCTGTAAGTCCCCTTGTGTTTAGTTGTGTCCCCTTGTCCTTTGGAGAAATTTGTCAGAGATGTTAGAGATTTCTCCGAATAGATGATCAGAAATCTAGAATGTCCTTGTCCTCACGTAGGGCCCACCTGTTTTTTAGCCCACCTGTCTTAATTCTAACAAGTTTTGCTGGCTGGCTGGATGTGGAAGTATGTTTGAGTTACAGGCTCATTTTTAACTAAAGGTCATTATACTGGTTTAAGGGAACTGTTTGCAAAAGTAGACATGGAATTAGACTTTTAAAAACTATAAGGGAAGAAAGTTTGACTTTTTTATTTGCATCTTAAGGTAAAAAATGGACCGTCTGGAGATAGATACTCAAAGGAAAAATGGAGACACTGGCTTCTTTGACTGAAAAATCAATTTTTTTCTTAATCACAAGAATTGAAATGAACTTATACTTTAAATTTTGCCCAGTGTGATGAACTTCTTATGGTGTTTGAGTAAGCCTTTGAAGACAGTGGTAGTCCTTGGGCAGGTATGAATTCAGTCATGTCTTTGTCAACCTGTGGTTCAGAAACAATGTGTGTACTGAAACCTAAATTCCAGCTTGCTGTATATGAATGACTTCCATGTCCAAATTATTGAGGTGATTGTGGTTATATGAAGTCCATGGGACCTTACCGAAGCTTAAAATTTCCACTCTGGTTCAGGATTCTACTTTTAAGTCAAAGGCAAAGCCTTCTGGTTTGGGATCCTATGATACCCACAGCAGGTTTATTTCCCAACATACCAGGTATTTCACTTGCTTTTTTCTCTCCACACTTGGACTTGCCAAATCTCACTGAATTGCTTTTTTGATCTCAATCCTCCAAAACCTTTTCTTCCAGAAGAGCTTAAAGCAGCGCCTGGGTAAGAGTAACATCCAGGCACGGTTAGGCCGACCCATAGGGGCTCTGGCCAGAGGAGCCATTGGAGGACGAGGCCTGCCCATAGTCCAGAGAGGCTTGCCCAGAGGAGGACTGCGTGGGGGACGTGCCACCAGGACCCTGCTTAGGGGCGGGATGTCGCTCCGAGGTCAGTGCTCTTTGTCCCTGATGATCATTGGGCCCTATCCCCCTCCCTTTTCTCCTGGGCTGCTTATGGACACATTCGTTTAACATCTTTTAATTCTGAATTTATATTAATATAATTAATAACTTGGAATCACATACTTTTAGTAGTGTTGCATGTCTTTTACCAGTACCATTCCGTTTCTGATAATGTGCAATAGTTGAGAGGTTATGACCTGGGGAATAACAGATAATTCATGTCATCTCCATTCCATTTTAAAACACCCTGCTGCTGCTTGAATCAAAGCACATTCAAGTCTAGAAATAAGCGTAAGAAATGTGTGGTTAGTATGCATAAGGCCCCAAGTTCAGTCCACAGCACCAAAAAGAAATTTATTGATCTATTTGCACGTATTATAACTGGTGCTAGTGAAACACTTAATATCTGAAAGAAAGGACAAGTTGACCTATAGCACTTACCTGTATCTTGTATTTTGGGCACTGTTAAACTTTCCTGTGTAGTTCTTTGTTCCCTAGTTTTGAAAGGAATTATAGCATTTATTTTTAAATGTACCATGATACCAGACATCTAATTATTCACTAATTATTTGTTAAATGAATGTATTTAACTCCCAGCTTCTTCCATAGATGGGTTTGTGGTCAGAATTGTTGAATTGATTTGAATGAAGAGCAGCTTAATCTTTTCACACTTAGTATGCAACTTGCCCCATCCAACCTAAAAATTAATTGAATTACTCTCATTTAACCCTCACTGCCTTTGGTTAGAATCTATTTTGTCTCTCTTGGATTTACCTGCATATACATTGTATGCCTCCTCTCCAAGGTCAAAACCTGCTTCGAGGTGGACGAGCCGTAGCTCCCCGAATGGGCTTAAGAAGAGGTGGTGTTCTAGGTCGTGGAGGTCCTGGGAGAGGGGGCCTAGGGCGTGGAGCTATGGGTCGTGGCGGAATCGGTGGTAGAGGTTAGTCAGCTACCAACTTCAGAGAGTAGCTCCCCTTTATTTCCTTCCCTTAAAAACTCAGAGCCACCTTTCTGCACAGCTTTAAATCATAGGCAGGCTTGTTTGTTTGTCTTGTTTTGTTTTTTGAAACTGGCTTATTTCCTAACTTCATGCTGGTAGTGGGAAAGACATAATTTTTCTAAGAATCAGGTACATGTTACAGAGCCATATTTTTATCCAGTCTTCCAGAGCCTTAAAATTTTAAATTGTTAAAATAACAAAATTTTGAATTAGGAATTTTGCCTTTTTCTCTCTCTGCCCACCACCATTCCCTTACCACCACCCTGGTAGTGTAAATCATTATTTAAATCAGATGAGAATAATGAAAGAGAGTCTGGGGGTACAGCTCAAGAGTAGAGTTTGCTCAAGGCCTTCGGTCCCTAACACCACAAAAAAAGATTTAAAAAGAGAAAGATGAACAAGAGTTAAAGAGGGTAGTCTGAAGCTCAGCCGTAGAGCATCCAAGAGGCCCTGGGTTCAGTCCCCAACACCAGGGCAGGTGCAGAGAGTGAGAATTGGAATTGGGCATTGGCTCTGAAAGCAAGTAAATTCAGCATAAAATGTTTGCCTATGGGGAACCAGGGACGTTTTTTTCTCATTGAGGTAGAAAATAAGATAGTGTTGCTGTCAGTTAAATAACTGACTCTTTGTTATCTTTGACACTTTGATAGTTGTCTTTGACCTCATGAACCAGATTGGAAGAGTTCAGTGCTGGATTATTTAATGCCAAATTTCAGGGGAGCTTTAAGATTTTTGTGAGAACCTCCCAGCACCACCTATTGGAGGGGAATAAATCCATTTTAGCCCCTGTGTATATCTTCTCTGGTCCTTTTAAATTGTGTGGTGGGTTTTCAGAATTTACAGTCTTGAAGTTGGCCAAGGAGTATTGTTAGGAAACATTTAATCAAGGACTATGGGCATGGTGGCATGTGCCTAGAATCCCAGCACTTGGAAGGCTGAGGCAGGAGGATCACCTTGAGTTCAAGGCTAGCCTGAACTACATAGCAAGACTGCCTTAAAAAAAAAATCTAAGGACTTATTTTCTTCTCTCCCATTAAACACTACTGGGCTTGTTGAGTGGTGTATAAGCTAGTTTAGGTTTCAGGATGAAATAGAATGTTTCCAAATTATCTTGACTCAGTTTTTGAGAGACATCACAGGGTTAGGAAAGACTAAAGGAGCTTTTCAGAAAGCTAGATGCATTTTGTTAAAGAAACTGAAACTGCTTCTCAGATAACCACAATTGTCCTAAGGTGACTAGACTCTGAAGTGGCTGGGACAACTCAGAATGCTTTTCCCCTGTCTCCCTACGTTGTTTCTGTGTCAGAATAACTCCTCAGTGTTCTGACATGGGGAGTCACCTGCTAGACTTAATAAATTTAAGGAGAGATGAGATAACTTAGCAGAGTATCCACTAAAGCTTGCTTTGAAAACTACCTTTACATTCCTGATTCTGTGCCCTTTTAACTGCCTCCCTATCTTATTAAATAGATTATCTACAGTGTATTTTAATTATGAACTCATAAAGTCTTAAACTCTAGGGAGAGATTTTTTAATTATATTTGTCAACTTATTTTCTGTTGATAAATAGCATTTAGAGATGAGCATGTAATGAGGGATTCATTATGTGTGCTTTCCATGTGTTGCTTTCTGCCCAGTGTGTGCCTCGTTTTCCAGATCTCTCCTCTTTGCCCTGCCCTTCAGCTTTTCTCAGCTAGGCCCCACTGCTCTAAGGGGCATTTCCTATAGCACCATTAAACCTACTTGTAACTCTTTTTTTTTTTCTTCCCCCCTTGGGCCAGGTCGGGGTATGATAGGTCGGGGAAGAGGGGGCTTTGGAGGACGTGGACGAGGACGTGGACGGGGGAGAGGTGCCCTTACTCGCCCTGTGTTGACCAAGGAGCAGCTGGACAACCAGTTGGATGCCTACATGTCGAAAACTAAAGGACACCTGGATGCTGAGTTGGATGCCTACATGGCACAGACAGATCCTGAAACC